GGTATCTATGAGGATCCGACCAACTCTTTGGTTGGCCACTTTACATTCAATGACAATGGGGTCGTCATGCGGCCCCCTAACACCTCCCAGGTCCTCTTCTGTGATAACAATTTCTGGGAATGTACTCTTGGGGGTCTGTCCTTGATTGACGGAGTTAACATCCAACCGCCTGATGTTATCTTTGTTGCCCCTAATTGTGGGACCGCCTCCTGCGAAACCGTCTGCTATAGTATAGACAACGGCGTCATCAGTATCAGAACTGTCAGCTGACCGGTGATTTTTCTTGGCCGACTGCTTCTGTTTGGGGGGAGCATTCCCCTTGGGCTTCTCGACGTAGGAGTCAAGATCGCCTTTTTCTGCCAGGCGGTCCAGGTAGCACATGAGGATGATACATTCATTGGTTTCATGACCAATGTCTTCGTGAAAATGACAGAATTTATTTTGGTTCCGATTGCTCGTATAACCTTTCATGGGGGTCGGCTTCTCAATTGAGATCCGACCCTTGATTTCATTGAGGATAGCTTGGCTATCCTTGTTGAACGTATACTTGGGAGAGTATGGTTTGTATTCTTTTTTCTTTTTCTGGGACGGCTGTTCAGAGGAGTCGGCCGCCCAGATTTCTTTTCTCTTCTTGTCATCTTTATTTGCCGACTGCTTTGGTCGGCTTTCTTTTTTATCGGACCTCCTTCCGTCCGACTGCATCCCAGTATTACACAGGTCAGTCGCCTGTATGTAGGCCTCAACCTCAATTAAGGCTTCTTGAAGGGTAGCAACCCTCTTGCGGACCAAGTCAAATTTGAAGGTCGACCCATCCTTGAGACCTCTGAAAAAGTCAATGTAGGCTACCTCATCCGGCAGCCCTTGTATCTGAATCCTCATCAGGTTGAACCGCCTGATGTAGGAACGGAGTCCCTCCTTCTCTCCCTGCTATATGGTCCCTAAGTCAAGGGTTGTCTTTTTAGCAGGGATATTCATGGAGAAATTGGAGGTGAACAAGTAAGCGAGGGTCTTGAAGTTGTTCACACAACTAGTCGGCAGGTTGCCGAACCATTGTTGAGCAATTCCCTTCAGAGTGGCTGGGAAGCACTTGCACCAGGTGGGATCATCCAACCCTTGAAGGTACATCAGGTTGGTGAAAGCCATCAGATGGTCTTTTGGATTCGTAGTGCCATCGTAGGCGCCTACTAATACATTCTTCACTTTGGCCGGCTGGGCGGCCTCAATAATTTCCTTAGAGAAGGCGGACGTCTGTTCTCCAAGTCTAAGCAACCGTAGTTGCCAGTCCAAAGGCTGGATGTTTCTCGCCGCCTGCCCTCCAAATAGAGGAGGCTGCAAGAAATATTGTTGTTGCGGCACGTATGGCTGGTGTGGCACATGCGGAGCCGACTGGTTTTTATGGGATCCGGACCGACGGGAGGTGCCACCTGTCTGGCTCTCATAATTTGATTGTGAATACCTCATGGAGATATTGTGCAGACTGTCTTGAAAATATGAAGTGCAGGCCGACTCTGACAGTCGGTCACTCTTCTTCTGCTCTAGCAACAATCGAGCATCAGAGTACATTTTCTTTGACCCATCCGCTTGAACATGACGGATGGGCTTTCTCTTTCCTGGTGACGGGAAGTGGTACTTCGTCCAATCGAGTACAGGTGACCGCCTAGCGCCAAGCTTTGGGTAAGGGGTTGTTGTGCGATCAGTAACTGGTCTCATCTTTCCAGAATGGGAGGACTTTCTAGCCGACTGTTTCTTTGCAGGAACAGGCGTTTTCTTCTTAATCAACTCTTGGATCTCTCCCTTGAATCCCCTCATGAAGGTCATGAGTTCGTTCCTTGTAATGGGAGCAGATCCCTCGACCGCTTGTTGATGATCAAGCGGCTCGCTGGCTGGTTTACTAGATCCGGCCAGGCAATCCTCCCGTTCCCTCCTCTCGGTGGGACGGGTGCGTCGGGCCCTTAGGGTCCCGTCTGAGGCCGTGTGTGTCTCCACCTCGACCTCATTATCAGTATCTTGGTCTGAGTAGACCTGAGGGTCGTCCACTGGACGCCTCTCTTCTGGATTCGATACAGACTGTGATTCCATCTCAAAAGTACTCTCCCCACAAACGGCGCCAAAATGTTTCGGGGTTTTCTGATGTCCTGCAGGAGAGCTACAATTCCAAGTCTGATATCCTTGCGCATGTACCTGCAAAACAACGGAGACTCCTTGTGGTTGGAGCTCCGCCTCCGACGGTCAAGTTAGTACTTGTTTTGGGAGTAATAAGTGCGGAAAAGTAAAGGTGGGAGATCTGGTTCCTAAAGGTGAAGAGTGATCAATGTGTTTTGGCTTCCTTAGGTGGGAGTAATTAATTGCTGAATCCCCTTTAATGAGGACTAATTAGTGTATTTATAGTCTTGGGAAGCGTGCCTAATTCTAGGGTTTTTGGTAAACCCTAGAGCTGACCGGGCTTCTCCCAGGAAGTGGGCCTAGGTGGCCTCCTTCCAAGCTGGAAATCAATGGGCCACATGGCGTGGCTTGACTGGTCCATGGTGGACAAATGGTTGTGTGCCGCGTGTCAGGCCATGAGAGGTCCAAATGGAGGACACTTGGCAGGACCTGATTGGTCCACGTGGCGTTCACTGATTGGGCGGGAAAATCCCCTAATCATAAGGTAGCTTTTTATTTCTGGGATTGAGTTGCTAAGGTGTAGTTGGGTGGCTGCGAAAAGAAGATGGGAGATCTTCTAGGTGCTTTAGGACTCTAAAGGAAGAAATAAAAAGATTTAAAATCCTACAGGTTGGACAACCCTAGGCGGAGACGTAGGCACATTTGCCGAACTTCGTAAAAATATCTCTGTCTCTTGTCTCATTTTGTTTGCTTTAATTTACTGTTTTTTATTTCTGTTTTAATTACACAAGTTATATTCTGCCTAAGTTTCAAAGTTTGTTTTTTAGGTCTTGAAGTAAATCTTAAAGCCTTGACTCTGATTAGTGAATTAGTTTATTCCGCCTTGAAACTGATATCAAAACCTTGAGATTTATAATTTTCGAAAAGTTCCCATACTCTATTCAACCCCCCCCCCCCCCACCTTTTCTAGAGTATACTTGTTATCATTCCATCACCGTATTGATCCTTCAATATATAAATAAATAATTCGTTCCTTGGAAGTTGGATCAACAACATAAACCATTGATCACTTAAAAGTAAGTCATTGACACTAGAGTTAACTCAATTCTCGTTACAACGTCACTTGCCATGGGCCATGCTGGCTCTTCAGAGAATTGGCCCAACTAAGAACAAGCTCATTTTAAACTCAATACAATACGACATAGATACACTGATGCGCCATGGATTGCGCAATAAATCATTTTTAAAATTTGGCAATAGTTTGATGGGCGAATTTACTTGTCGATCCTTTTTTCCGAGCAATTTACAATAATTTAAAAATGACAAAAGCTAACAAGCATTTCTAGACGTTAAATAAGAGAACTAAAAGTGAAAATATTAAAGTAAAATCAGTCAATAACTATATACTAAAAGACACACCAACAATGACATGTGTCATTTTCTAATATGTTCCTTAATTTTTTTTTTCTAAAAAATCTATTTAGGAAGCAAATCTTTATACATAAATAAAATATTACAAATTTTTACATAAATAATACATTTGATATAAACTTCCATATAATATATTGACCAAAAAAAAAAAAAAAAAAAAAAAAAAAAAAAAAAAGATTTGACATGTAAGATATAGAATAATATTTTAAGTTGCTTGATTATTGATTAATTAAATATTTACGTAAAAAAAAAAAAGTGAATTAATAGTGTGTATAAAAGAAATCTTTACACGGGTTAAATACATAGTTTGAAAAAATTCACTTGGTTAACAAGATAAAAATGACATCAATTTGTTGGTGAAATATAGAAAAATATAATATTGTTAAATGCGTATTTTAAAATACCTATCTGGCTAATAGGCTCTTTTATAATATTTTAGATAAATTTATGTTTTATAATAAAATATAGTTTTAATATAAGAATACTTATTAAAAACTACCGTGCATGGCTTGGACCTAACCTAGTTAACATTAATTACAACGACCGACACGTAATTTTATCAAGAATTCTTAACTTATTACTATTTTAAATATTATGCTAAATAATTATTTAACGTCCCGAGGCGCTCATTAACAAGATCCGTTAAAAATTACTATCAAGAAAACCTGATAGTTCAATACAACACATGAGTAAGTTGTGCAAGAATCCCACTTTTGTAAGATCCACATGACACAATTTTTCCTTTACGCCTTCTCGACACAAGCCGCTGGGCCGTGGGAGTACGAGACCTGTGGGTCTTGCACATGGGCTTACATGGCCCAGTTCATTCCTAGCTCTAAGGGTGCAATATTTTCATTTGGCCCCAAGCTCCCAAAGAAAGCTGATCGAAGTGAAATACTACAAACATGAGCTGCTACGTGGGTAAATCATGGCCCACCTAATCATACAAGCAAAATTGGTTACACAATTCTAATTATTCAATTCATAATAATTGAGATCAACATTACATGAGCATAATTTAGGAAACTCTAATGGCACCTTTTAGGTGCAAATTTGCTTCAAATTTATAAAACATCCGTTGATCATTTAAGCACCATTTGAAATTGTAGACAAGTCAAGCAAGCACCTTAACCAAGTTAACAACTCATCAACTAGGAAAAAAATTACTACGAGTAGTATTTTGTTGTGTCGAGTAAACTATAACGACAATGATATAAACAGTGTAGGATTGTGTGGATAATCAATTAAATTAATTGGTTAAAGTTTTGAAGGATGATATATTGATCATCAACCACATACTAGATCATAGATTTGAAACTTCAATCAATTGAATTTGTTATTCATATATTTTTTGATAATTACTCAAACTACCAAAGAACTAAAAAACATGAACTAGTATGAGTTTGAATGTTTGATTATAAATTAAAATAAAATTCTACAACTATTTTTTTTCCCCACAATTTGAATAAATCTGAATAATAATAGTAATAATAATAATGGTCGAATTTACAATAGTAACCCTTTCAATTATCGGGCCAACTTTCAACTTTTGTCTTCGTGAAGAGCTTCATAGATATTCAAACTCCGATCGGAATTCGGGACGACTCGGTGGTTAACTAAATTATCCCCACTTTCCGCCATCACAACGCATTCTATCTCACCCCAAATCGCCCCTTTCTCCTAAATACAATTTTTTATATATATAAATTAAAAAATCCTACACTAATTAATTCATGTATATTCAATAAAAAATTAATTGCCCAAATCAAAATTAATTCAGGCATAATGTGAAGTCGTTTAGATCGTTTGATACAAGAATTTCCGCGTTTAAACTCTAACGAGTCATAGCCAGGTCAATTCAGCTCAGCTCAACTTGACAAGACGAGCTCATTACTACCAGACAGATTTCTCGAGCAAAGGACGAGAATCAGCAAGCGACCCACGGAATCCAACGTGGCAAAAAGATGATCGTTGGAAATCCTCAAGATTAACAAACCGGCCTTTGGAATCAGACCGGTTTAAGAACTGGATGATTTCCTCGAACAAATATTCATCACAAGGAATAGAGAGCGGTCCGGTTTGGTTTACGAATCCGAACTCTTCTTCTGCTTGAACCAGTAGTTTACGAATAACGGGGTGATTAAGGTAGCTCGCTCGGACAACGAAGCGACGGGAGTTGGAGCCGACGGTGACGGCGACGTGACCAGCGGGGACGTCGGAGGGGATGCGGCGTTGAGCGGCTTTGTTTCGCCAACGACGGAGCATTTGACGGAGGCGGACAATGTGACGGATCTTGTTACATTTTTGGAACCCATTATTATTATTATTTGGTGATGATGTTGTTGAAATTGAAGACATGATTGATTGAAGAATTGATTAAGGGTGTAATTTGAGGGAAGATTATTATTTTGAGAAAAGTGAATTGAAGGATGATTTAGTGAAGGTTGGTAAATGAGGTTTGAGTTTGAGTTGGAGGAGCAGCGCGTAATGTAGTAGATAGCTGTAGTCCTCTGTTGTCGGAGTGCGAGAGGATTTTGAGGAGGAAAAGTGAAGGTGATGAGAAGAGGGAGTTGAGAGAGACAGGGTGTGCTACTTTAATAGAAGAGCACACTTTTTTTTTTTTAGCCTCCTTCCTTTTTCCAGTGTTAATTTAATTTATTTTATTTTATTTTATGATACATTTAGACTGCTCCGTATTTGTTTGTTTATGAGGACATTAAGGCTTTGTTTGGTAAAGTGTTTTTTGAAGAACTTTTAGCTTATTGTGTCCTATTAGAGGTTTGATTATTTAAAAAAAAAAAAGAAAAAAACTAATTTGGGTGTTTGTTAAATACCTTATTAAAAATATACCTTATTAAAAAATCTTTTTAGGCTCAAAAAACTCTTTTTCAAAAAAAAACTTATTGAACAATTAGATTTTTGGCTTTTAATACACTAAAACAGCTAACAATTAATAGCTTTTTACCAAACACTTTTACATAATCAGTTATTTACAACCAGCTAGTACAACCGGCTATAACAATCAGCTACCAGCTAATTTCCAAATAGGGCCAAAATGACTATTGCCATAGAAATAGTTTTAGTTGTACTCTATAAAGTACTACTAGTTGTATAATTCCTAAGTTTTAAAATTTTCAAGAAAACATTTATAATTCTTGTAAAAATAAATAAAATTATGAATAGCGTGCAGATATTTATACCCTTGAAATGTTTATTTATTTATTTTCTCTCATTGATGTAAAATGTCTCTTTTATACCGCTAAAAAACATCTGTTTACATATTTTATATCCCTAAGATATCTATTCACATATGTTTTTTTTTCTCATAATGTTAACTAGTCAACCCCTAATTTTGTGGCATAAGACCAAACCGAAAAAGCTCCTCACACATGCTTAGCTATGGCGTGCGCATTGCTCGCGTTAGCTGGCCTAGTTATGTAAAAATTATACTTTGTAATATTTTGTGTTACTAGAATAAAGCAAGATAGCTAGATAATTTTTGGGCAAATTTGCCTAGCCAAGTTAATTTAAAAACAATCTAGTGTCTTATCATAAATTTTCATTAATTAAGCATATTTAAACAAAGTTATGTTTAAGCATATTTAAACAAAGTTATGAATTATATTAAATTCTTCTATGATATATAATGATGGTGATATGCATGAACATAATGGTTTACATGTAATTACTTACTTTAAACTAATAAAAATATTTATAACAATAAACTTTTACTAGTTTACAAAAGAACTTGTCTCACATCGATAAATGAAAGAAAAACGGTAGAGTTAATTCATACTCTTACTTAAGCTATACCATGTCAGAAATCCAACTTCACCTTGAAATCATTTTGGTTAAATTGAAACTATTTTTACCAAAGTAAAATTATCTTTAATGGTTAAACCTTATTTTTATCGAAGCTTATTATATTTGTTCTTTAAAATTACTACTTTTATGATTAAAAGTTATTTTAACTAAACTAAATTTACTTTTATTAAACTTTACTTATTTTTACTAAAATAAAATTATTTTTACTAAATATTATTTGAATAAGATAAAGTGAATAGGGTCGCCCTAAGCCTTAATAGCCTTGGTTTTGTGTGGACATTATGGATGTAAAATTAAATTTCTCATAATTCTCACATCTAAGTGTTTTTATTTTATATTTCTAAGTTTGATTATGAATACTTATCTATATCTATACTTAAAATTAATAAAAAAAAAAAATTGAAAAAAATAAATAAAAATTAAACCACCACGATATGTTTCTTCTTTTCATTTTACTGTACGGAGTTGCATGCTCAAGAGGTGTAATTCATTATATCGTTTGGCGTTAACAAATTTTTTTCCCTGACTTAGCTTTCATTTAAACAATTTTATGTATATCTGGGTGCAAGGATTTTTTATGCCTATTCAATACATTTTTGCTCATTTTAAAATACTAAAATGAGCACAAAAAAAAAAAAAAAAAAAAAAAATCCATCCTTTGGGTGCACCTATCTCTATGTGCATCCGGGTGTATATAAAAGGTTGTGGTTTTTATTTGTTTCATCAAGTATATAAGACCTAGGCTAGAGAATCTTGGTGATTAGGAAACTATCCTTAACATCTTACAATTTCTCATCAGATAATATACTTATTATCTTAACAACAACTTTTGTGTGCGGCTGGCCACGTCGTGTGGCCAGCTGACACACACTAAGTAATAACCCTTGATCGACGAGTAACCTCTCATCGAGTAACTCCTGACCGACCGAGTGACCTCTAACCAACCAAGTAAACCCTGACCAATTAACCCCTAACCAACTTAGTAACCCCTGATCGGGTGAGTAACCCCTAACCGAGTAACCCCTGACCGACTGAGTAAGCCTTGACCGAGTAATCCTTGACCGACTTAGTAACTCTTAACCGAGTGAGTAACCCCTATATCACTAATTAATAAAGTAATCCTCATAATGGTTGGTCATACGGTCTGACCAGACACATATAAAAGTTTGTAAAATCCTAAATATGTTATTTTTAAAATCATATCTTAACAACAAAAAATATCTTAATTAAAGATATTACATTATTACTTGCTTAAATTTAATGAGAAAATATATCACACAAATATATTCTCCTATATTGATGTTATCATATATTTCTAACACCATCCTGCATTCATAATAACCGTAACATGAAAGTTATGATTGAAATTTCTTATCTTTGTAAAAGTCAAGATGCTGAAATTTGGTGATATCGCCTTCAATTATTGTTTTGTGATTAGAACATCATTCCTTTCAAACTCATCAACCAAACATAAACGACATTATTTTCAAATCCATAATGTTTTGATTTTTCTTAGAGAAAACCACGCTCGTCGCTCACATTAGGTATTAGCTAGTTGTTTGAAGCAAACCAAGCTCAAATTTGTGATCGACGCTCAGATTAGGTTTGGTTAGAGGTGTCCACCGTGCGAGTCGTGCGAGCTGGGTTAGGGTTAGGTGGGTCGCGGGTTGGGGTTTCATGACACACGGCACGACACACGTAGGGTAGGGTGGGCCGGGTCGTGGGTTGGGTCGGAGAAGTTGGACACACCAGGGTTAGGTTCGTGGGTTAGACGAGTCGTGGGTGGGTCGAGCTGGGTTTGTGGGTTAGACGGATCGTGGGTGGGTCGAGCTGGGTTTGTGGGTTAGACGGGTCATGGGTGGGTCGAGCTAGGTTCGTGGGTTAGACGGGTCAAGGTGGGTTAGTGAGTTAGGGTGGGTCGAAGGGTGGGTTAGTGGGTTAGGGTCGGGTGGGTTTGTGGGTTAGGTGGGTTAGGGTCGGGTGGGTTAGTGGGTTAGGGTCGGGTGGGTTTGTGGGTTAGGTGGGTTAGGGTCGGGTGGGTTTGTGGGTTAGGGTCGGGTGGGTTCGTGGGTTAGGTGGGTTAGGGTCGGGTGGGTTTGTGGGTTAGGTGGGTTAGGGTCAGGTGGGTTTGTGGGTTAGGGTCGGGTGGGTTCGTGGGTTAGGGTCGGGTGGGTTGTGTGGTGTTTTAATTTTTACAAAATTAACAATTTGATGGCTTGCTCTTAATTAAGATGCCTACGTATCCTTATATTATAAAATAAGGAATCAAAGCCAGCGTAGTTCTTATATTGTACTTCTTTTGAAATTTGGGGGGGGGGGGGGGGCTTGGACCTATCTTTAGAAAACTAAAATTTAATTTTGCAATTAAATTGTAATTTTCGAAAAATAAGTTGCCTACGTATCCCGAAAGAATCAAAGCCCACGTAGTTCTTAGCGTACCTGATTTAGACTTTTCTAGCCACCCATGTTTGTTGCATCATCATCCCCGGAAGCTGCATCATCCGTTGACGACTCCAATATCATCACAGGATCATCTTCATCGTCTTCGTCTTCCTTTAAACCTTGAGTTCTTCTTTCAGCTTGATCCCAATCTTTCTTACAAACACAAATTTGAATGCTTTCCGGAGTTAAGCGAGATCTTTTTTCATCTAACACTCTTCTACCTGCACTAAAAGCAGACTCGGAAGCAACAGATGAAGCGGGAACTGCAAGTATATCTTTTGCAATTCTCGCCAATATAGGAAAACTTTTTTTATGTTCTTGCCACCATTTTATAATTTGAAAGTTGTTGGTCTCATGTTGATATGACAAATAATCATTAATAGCAAGTGTTGAAGAAGATGATGATGAGAATGATGTAGATGCTTTGTGTTTTTTTTTCATAACTTTATCAAGAAAACCAAATCTAGAATCGGAAGTGCTAGTAGTAGTTGGTGTTGCCAAATCAAAACCATAAATAGATGCATAATGATCATAAAGGTCTCCCAAAACAGATTTGCATTTGTTAATATATTCACTAACATCATAATCGATACTTAAACTTGTATAATAAAATTCTAAAAGATTTTCCAAACCTTCAGCTTTGACACCGGGGTCAAGAATAGCAGCAATTCCATAAATGATTGGAAATTCACTAAAATAAGTATGCCACTTACGTTTCATGCTATCAAGAACGGGACGAAGTCCATCAATCTTCATATGCTCTTCGATGGTGTGAACAACTTTAACACACTCAATTATGACTAAATGAACGTTAGGCTCATAAATATAAGAGAAAATATGAGTTGCACTATCAAAAGCATTTAAAACATCACGAACAAAAGAAGCATTAGTCCAATGACTTTCGGTTATTAACTCAGTAGGATCAACACGAGTCTCATTGTAAAGTTGGGTCAAAATATCACGATACTTTATAGCATCACTCAACAACTTGAAAGTAGAATTCCAACGGGTAGGGGTATCAATAGACCATTGTCTTTTCTTAAGACCTCTTTCTTTACACATAGCTATGTACTTTCTTCTAACTGACTGAGTAATCCTAATCCATTTTATAACTGTTCTAATTGGGTTTAGCAATGGTTGCAACTCAGCGAGACCCTCTTGAACAGACAAATTCAAAATATGAGCACAACATCTAACATGCAAGAGACTACCACCCAACAACAAATTCAACTCGGAGTCATTTTTCAAATAGTCAATACACTTTGTGTTTGCAGTTGCATTATCAAGAGACAAAGAAAAAACTTTATTATTCAAGTGAAATTCTTTTAAACAATCCAAAATACGAACTTTGATGTTAAAACCGGTATGCCTTTCTTCCATAGCTTGAAAACATAGTATACGTTTTTGAATAAACCAATCATCATCCACCCAATGAGCAGTAATGCAAAGAAAAGGTTCGCCAAAACTAGAAGTCCATGTATCACTTGTAAAACTAACACGACCATCAAAAGTACGAAATAATTCAATCAAACCACTCCTATACTTATAATAAGAAGTTTGTGTATAACGTCTTAGGGTATTTCGGGGGACACGAGTAAATGCAGGTTGTAATGC